GCCCCGCCGAAATTGAGTTTGATAACTTCCCGTTAAGCCTTTCACCAACGAAGGTCGTGATCATTTTCGCAGCAGTCCACAATCCTGTTGCTGTGTCCTAGACTGAAACTGTTGACTCATTCGCACCACACCTACCTTCCTCAGGGCGCGTAGAACACAGACGATAAAGTGGGGGCTTATGATTGGTTAACTGGCTGGCTGGCTGGCGCAACGTTTGTTTGAGGAAAGGGGAAACGCCCATTGCCCATGGCTCCATTTATGAGACATGAATAAGCGCTTGTTAGGCGTATTGCTTCGGCCATGGGTATTCTCTCGCCGCAACAATTGCTGCTAAGACAATACTCAGAAAGCCCTTGAGCCATTCGCCGTCTTGACAACAGGCAAAACCGACTCTAGAGACTGGACAGCGTTGTCGCGGAAACTCTAGTTTGTATAAATATTGAAGAGGTATGCAAGTAGGATGCCGCTGGACAAGTCTTTAATGCGCTCAGCTACATTGAAAATTAACCGATGGTTGGGCTACGTCACGCCAACTCATAATAATTATGGAGTCTTTGCCGTTTGAACAAGGAGTTCGCTTTCAAGGGCTTATATTATTTCAAAGTGTTTATCAATCCTTTCCTTTAGCCCTCCATATGCATTTAAATCCTATTGGCGCAAATCAGATTGCAGTAAAATGGTGCGCCTGACACTTATTTGTCGAAAATTAATCTTGCTATGCCCTTTCGTTTGATGTATGCTATTATTGGACAAACATTTAAGCACAAGGATTCATTAGACCTTGCGAGGAGTCTAAATAAAGTTAAACAAGGCGAATTCTGTCAAGGATGCGTTATAAATGTGTACATATAATTTTCAATGGAAGTAGTCAGTTAGAAGACCTGTAAATTATTCGGGCGAGCGCGGCTTATCTTGCCTTTTTGGGATAATGATAGGAGAAACCTGTATTCAGGTTAGTGGAAAAAGTCCAATCAGTATATCTTATGACCAAGGCATAACACCGGTTTTCTCCTTAATGCCAGTTTATACTGATGGCAATTCAGTTAGAATGGTGGGTGATAAACTCCCGGCTTCATTCACACCCAAAAATCCCCTTGGAATTAACTTTTCCCGAAGTGTGTCGTGCCGGTTTCGTTGGAGACATTTAATTGATTCGTTAATCTTTACCCCTACTGACCAGTACTGTGAAAGGTGAACATAGATTTGTTAAAATAATCAATTATAAAAGTCTCAATATTCTTTACGTGTCTCCTTTCTGCAGCCGCTTGAGCGCTAAAACTGCTGTGGGCGCGTCCTTCTGTTTGCATAAGTGACAGGGGACGTTCTAGATTCCCTTTGGTTTATAGGACAAACAAACACAGACATGGTGCCGTTTGATGCGCCAATATAGCGAAAAAATTTAAGGGAATATATTAATAAATAAAGAGCTTTCCTATCTGTCATCTGACCGCATGTCATGTATAAGCCTGCGGTCTCGGGATGCTGGGGGATTCTCTATTAACATGGTTACTATATGGTCGGTGGCAATATATTTACGAGAAAGAGAGAGGAAAAAAGGAAGCGGAGGAAAGAGAACTGGAGTATTTTCAGTAGGGTTTCTTTAGAATAGTAAATAAAATAGGGTATTTTTAAGAGGCAAACAACTTTTATAACAATTAAGGAAAATAAGAAAGAGCATTTTTCGCAACAATCGAGCATTTTGCTGCGTTTCACAATATACACATGTGCTTTTCAAAATAAAAGTTGGGAATAATTATATGCAGGTGGCCTAAAAATGGATCTTTGGAGGATCTGGGTAACAATAGTGAATATAAGTTGGTTTGCGCGTAGTAAGAAAGAAAATTGCTTTTAATACGGAGATTTTAGGTCTTGCCTAAGTAGGCAAGCCCCGAAAAGTAGCTCTGACAGTGGAAACAAAATGCGAACCAAAGCCTCTCGCAGGAAAATATCGGCAAGGATGACGTGTATGGCCACCTAAACAAGCCACGGGAATAGGAAGCCCCAAATCAACATAAGTGGCTTTACGATAAATCTCGGGATAGGTAAATATTCCCGTGATTTAACACTAACCCTAACATGAACCTAAACTGTAAACTTAAGCTTAACCCCAGCCTTACCTGACATCTTAGCCCTACGGTTAGCCCGAACCCAAACTTTAACCCTTGACATAACTCGGACCCTAAACCCAACTTTGACTTTAAGCCCACCCTTAAACCTAAGCCTAAACTTGATCATAACCCTCACCTTAGTCCAGAACCTAATTTCCCAGAACTGTGGCGCGAAGCCACACATATTGTGAGCGGTTCCTGCTCCCATGTCCTGAATCGTTTACATAGAAGCCCCTGACAGGACATAGAACTAGGAACACCTCATAACACAGATGACCTTACGTTCAATTCCAGGAAGGGCAAATATTCCCTTGTCCTAAATCTGACACGCTAGTATTGGGATAATAGTCCTTACCGAGACCCCAATCTTCATCCTTACTTTTGCCCTTGTCTTAAGTGCTACCCTAAACTCATTGGGGTTCAACTAAAAGCCGGTCCTTCTGGTCCTTATTGCTAATACATACTCGTTTCTCGGTAGCTCTGCAAATTATTAAAAGAAGACGAAGATGTCTGTCAGCTGCAGTATCGATCTTAGAATTGTAGTGTTTATTTCCAGCATCATACTTGGAACTACTAGCTATCCTGTGTAAAAAGCCTGTTTGGACTCTAGGTGTTGCTTGTTTTTTGTGGCCTTCGTCTCTGACGATGAACTCCTGCACGAGTTAGAAAGCTCAGATGAAGAAAGAAATAATTGCGGTGATCAAACAACCATAATCTGCCTGCCTCCCACACATTCTCCTCACTCGTTCTCCATGTTTGCACTCAAGTATTTTCTAGGGAATTACTAAGCAACAGTCAAGGACAGCCAACAGTTCACACATCACAAGCAATATGAGGCCCCCGGGGCTTCGGGCAGGGTGCAGTGATGACTTAAATGAATATATAGCACGTTACCTTGCCACACTCTCTGCACGCTGAAAGCGGGACGACCGAGTGCGCGGTTGAGAACAAAGTTAAACGGCTCATCTTTATATTTTACTCCAGGTTTTTTCCTCCAAGGAGGTGTAGTGACCCAACTCCGAGTGCACGCTCAACCGTTTGCCTCTCGCGGCTGCTAGCATATGCGCACCAGTTTTTGCCGAACCAAGTCCGATCTGGCCAATCACCTTCAAGGATTATTCACACAGGGCCTCACTGTAACGACTGCCGCATTCTCACACTATGGACGCGACCCCCTCGGGGGTTGTCGTACCTTCATCCAACTGTCAACTTTCTCCAACCTATTCTCCACTAGATCCGTAGAGAATACACTATTCCTCGCAACTGACGTCCCACCTTTTCTCTTCCCAGACGGAACTGGGCCTTAAGATCACAGCGGCAAGGGTTTAGCCTATAAACTTAAGCATCTGCAATAGAGGTGTGTTGGGTCGGTAAGGTGAAAGTGCAGCAAAGACTACACTGCAGTTATCCTCGGAGCTGGCAGTCCTCCAGGCTACGGATTTCAACACATTGTGGTCGCTTCTAGTGAACCTGCGTTCTTACAGTGAGGAATGTGCGCGGAAGTGCCACGAGGACGGGGGCACACTCTCTCCCTCCTCTCCGGTGGGCCTTTTAACGGACCAGGGATGAAATTGGAAATAATGGCTGACGCAGCATAGTACCTTTGTCTAACGTATGCCGCACACAGACAGACGCTGCAGTTCACTTGTACTTACTGACGTTGGTGAAATAGACGATGACGATGATGAAAACAGCACCCATCACCCCTTCTAGTACTGCCGCCAAACATAAGCTTACCACATGGCCCTTTTTGGTCATGTGTATACACTGTAGAATTATGCATAACTCATGCATTAATTATGAGAGCCAAATCCTGTGCACACAGCAGGGCAAACGCTTACCAGATATTATGCGTGCGTTCAGGTAAGGCATTTCATTAGTAGTATTGAACCATTCAGAGTTGAGGTAAGCGCTCCAGCCGCTGTTCTCGACAGCACAGCATTGCAAATAGCTCTGCATATAGTCCCAAACGTATGTGCTCAGGGCAGAAGATCCATAGCTCTCCTTTAGGTTGCGCAGCATAGCATCCTTGATGACCTGCTCGGACTAAAATGCCAAGGTAATTAAAAGGTCAATCTATATGGGAAAGGTGACGACCAGTGTTGTAGTCAAAATTTACTGACAGTACTTCTGCAAAGTTCAAAAAATGTAAGTTGTTCACTAGCGTACTATTGGCATCCTTGTTGTCCATTAATCAGCATTATTTAACTTTAGCTTCAAAAATATGCAGATGCAGGTGAGATCAGAGGATTAACTATTGGAACAATGGGTCAAGAACTGAAAAATTTAGGACTTTATATGGGTTTGTAGTGGACCTTAACGCCATCGTTGACTCATCACGCGAACGCTGCGGTTACCGTTGGCCTGTCTATCGCTCAAGGACTAGGACCATCTACTGACACACGGCTTAATCTCGCGCAAGGTTACCAATCACAGGCCCACTCACACAAGATCTCAAGTTGGTAGCTGTGAACGGACACCTGGGATTCCGCTCAGGCGCGTCGCGGTCGGCCTCACGGTCGGACGCCCTGCAAGACCTATTGGCAACCTTCCCACTGTTCCGTCTACTCTGCCTTCCCAATTATTCTCCCATCTCCTAAGGAACCGGGCCTGGAAGATTGTAGCTAATAGGGTTAACCGCATTAGCCTAAACTCCTATAGGTTTTCGCAACTTGCCGAGTTATGGGTCCTCCCCCACGAATACCCATGCCCAGTCGCCTACTGCCATTTTACTAGGTCATCTTCGGGCTACCTAAGAGCTCAAACTCAAAAACTAATTTAGAGATATCTCCCATTCCTACAAAATAATATGTAGTAAATAGAATTTTATCTAACTGAACATTGCCGTACGATATAAGAGAAAGATGGAATATCTCACGAGCACAAGAGATTACCCTACCAAGGAAGTCAACGACCGTCCTTTAGACGATGTTGCCTATCACAGCTCCAAAAGTGTGCAGTTATTAAATTTATTGAAGTTAAATCGAGAAAGTCGCTTTCCATCTAGAGTTTAACATTGCCTGAAGAAACCTGTATAAAATCTCGTTTTCTCCTCAGGTTATAGCAAACCGAAGAAGGACAGGAGACAACATACCTGGATTTAATCGTCACACCCACCACCACCATCACTACCATCAACACCACGAACACCAGCAAGACGGTTCGTAACTGGAAGGCAACGAGGTCCAACATTACTCCAATAGGTGAGCTCAGCCTGGAATTGCGCTGGAGGTTGTTTATGTTGGCTTACACTGCACCTACTTGCCTTCACGCTTACCACACCCATTGTGTTCCAACAGCAGGAGAGGAGGAACCTGGGTTCAGGTTTATCGCAGTGGCCCAAGTTAATAGGTAAAATCCTTGTAGCTGCGATCTTCAGGCACGTTAACGTAGGGCGAGAAAAGAAGTGAGACGCCAGATGGGAGGATTAGTGTATCCTGTACAAAAGTAATCGAGAATGGGTAGGAGGAAGTTGACTGTCGAACGAACTTGCGTCCGTTCCGAAAAATGGGCGGCATCCGAGAAAGTGTGAGCGTGGCAGTCATTATAGTGAGCTCCTGTGTGTG